CCTAGACATTAACGATATTATGATCCTTAATTTGCATATGAGGAAACTGAGGCTGGGGGAGGGGAGGGAGGTGTTCATGTCACACAGCTCATTAGTAGGATTTGAACTCAGGCCTCCTGACTCCAGGTCACTTCCCACTATGCCAATAGAAGTCTATCACTCTTTTTTCTTGGTCAAATAAACAATTAGCATATTGAAAAGAAAACTGGATTCACTAGTCCTTTTCCTGGTGAATGAACACCATGGCCCATACTTATCATATCATATCATATGCCATATCATCATATCACATCATAAGATTGTTTTGAAAAAGGAATCCAGAGAGGAGAGCCTGGCTCAAAGGTAATCTTTTTTTTTCTTTCAGCTTTGACATTTTTATAACGTTTCAGCAATTAGAGCTGTCCAAAAGTGAACAGCAGATCCCCAAGCAAAAGCTGGCTGACCCCTGCCAGGGGAGTCTAGGGAGGTTCAGTTGTGCCACACGGCATTTGAGGGCCCCTCCTGCTGGAACAATTCAGATTCTGGGAGAATCAACTTGCATTAGGAAAATGATCACACAGCTGAAATCAGTCACTTCTAATGGAGATTAGGGCTTGTATGTGACCCTACTATGAGATAATAGAGGGGAAAACTCTTCTCAAAATTCAATTTGCTATATCAGCAAGGTGTTATTACCTCCAATAGAAAGAGAGGGAGTGAGGGAGGGAGAAGGAAAGAAGGAAGGAAGGAAGAAGGAAAGGAAGGAAGGGAAGAAAGGAGGGAGAAAGGGAGGGAGGGAGGGAGGAAGGAAGGAAGGGAGAAAAAAGAATCTGACCATTTGCAGTTGGTTTCAAAACTGGCCACAGACAAGTCACTTTCTGAGTCTCAGTTTCCTAATCTGCACTACTGGAGGGATAATGCACGTATCACCTCCCCTCAGGGCTGCTGTGAGGCTCAATGAGATCATTCAGGTAAAGCTTCAGATGGGTCCCTATTATTAGAGTGGCCCGGCGTGGCTGTGATCTGGGCCACTGGAGGCCCTCCCACCCTGCCAAAGTCTTGTATTAAATTGAAGTTGGTGAGCGACCTTGTGGGAAGCGGGGTGGGGTACAGGGGCTGCCAAGGGAGATCTACAGGAATGTTTGCTCCAACACCACATTGCTTGCTTTCTCAGTTCCTGTATTTGCTCTTTAAAGTGTGTGTGTGTGTGTGTGTGTGTGTGTGTGTGTGTGTGTGTGTGTCCTCTTGCTCTACTGCTGGCTCTCAGTTGTCATTTCTCATTGCTCTCAGTGTGTCTGAATCCTGGGAAAACAGTCACCCCAACTGGTTATAATTATGTTTACAGTAAGAATAGCTGGGCTCTGGCTGGGCCCCACAGAATCGCCCATGAGTAAAGAAGTCATCCGGGCTCCCCAGGAGCCCTTTCCCAGCTCTGTTTTTGGCTGAGTTCTGAATAGTCAAGGCCAGCAGATAGAATCCTGAGATGATCAGCTGCGAGCTCGAAGGGACTTTAGAGGCCATTTGGTCCCGACTCCTTGATCTTACAGATGAGGAAACTGAGGCACAGAGGAATTAAGTGATGTGTCCAAGGTCACACTGGAAGTGACATAGGTGAGATGCAGCCTTGAGTGCATTGACTGTATGATACCATACCCCACTATCGCCGCATCGAAACTCCCTCTGACTGCTCTGTCTGTGCTTCCAAAGACTTGCACCCCTGCTCTACCACCATCCTGATTTTCAAAAGTGCATGTAAGAAGAAGCACATTTCCTCGGGGAGCTCACGACAGACTGCTGATTTGCTGGAGACAGGAAGGCTACAGCTATGGCAGTAGCCCTGCAGAGGGCGCCAGTATTTCTCGTCCTAAGGCTGCCTAGAGATAGCAGAGTGAAAGCTGGGAGAGCCCTGTCCTCCCAAATGGACACTGTAAATGCACACTCCATATGTATATATATAGGGCCTTTTTTCTCCCTTCCTTCCCCCCTCCCTCTCTCCTTCCCTCCTTCCTTCCTTCCTTCCTTCTTTCCTTCTCCCTCCCTCACTCCCTCTTTTTCTATTGGTAGTAGTAAATGCACACTTGAGTGGTGGAAGGAGGGAGAACAAGAGAGCCAGGGAGGCCTCTTCAGGGCAAAGTCGTGTGTGCCTGGATGCTTTTCCCTGAGGACGTGTTTCCCTTTTTTTTGCTTCCTCGGTGCCTACTGCAAGGCATGGTTCATTATAAGTATTCAACAAACATTTGTGGAAGCGGTCTCACTGACATCACTTTCTGCGTCCTCTCCTACTGCTCTGGACATGCCAACACCACAGGCCAGGGAATTCCACAATTCTTGAGAAAAAAAAATGGAGGTCTCAGAAACTTTATGCCAAAGTTGAAAGGATTTTTAAAAACTTTTTTTTTAATGCTTGGGAGTTAATTTATGTTGAGTGAAAAGGAACTTGGGCAAATTTCAAGGCCCATTTCTAACTAATCCATGACTTTTAAACAAAGAAACAAACCAAAAACTAGGGATTCATTTTTTCTGGTGATACCCTTGCCAATACCCCAACCTTCCCCATCTCCCCTGAGTTTATCATCATCACTGGCTCCATCAAGCAGGTAGGGAAACTGATGGCTTATTATGTTTGACTATACAGCATGGACATGAGGGCTGACTGTCAAATATCCCAGAGAGTTATTAACAAAACCAGCAGAAACTGCTCATAACAACATTTCCTTCTGAGCTTTCTACCCTTCCTGGGGGCGAAAATCCTTCAAAAGTGCAGATGCCAACTGCTGTGGGAAGCCCTCAGTGAGTATTCTAATCAGAAGTGATCTCTCTCATTTCTGCATCATTTTTCATGGGCACCACATCCATTCTACTTAGCAAATGTTCTCTTATAGCTTTCTTTTGTCAGCTCTTATGCATGAGTGTGCACATTGCCTAAGAGCTGAAGCCTGCTGTTAGCCTTGGCAACAGTTACCCATATGTCGTTCATTATGTGTTTGGACCCTAATGGAGAAATCCAATGTGACCTGAGGAGGAATGCATGTCTGAGTAAGTTCACATATGTTTTCTCCTTCCTTTGACCTCATTAGAAAAGATCTCTCTCATTCTCATTGGCCAGGATTTGCCCTGTTCTCTTAGCCATGCGCAGGTTCAAGACTCAAGTTCAGTAAGTTTGAAGAACAGTTGGATTTTGAATTTTACTCAGTACTACACAATTAAACACAAAATTCTTCAGCTTTTTGCCCCATCTCATTTAAATCTTAACACGAGTTTTTAAAGAATTTCAAAGTTTCCCAAGCTACCCATTTCCTCACCTTTTCCCCTCATTATTGTGTTGGTGAAGCTTTTTTTGGGGGGAAGCAGGAGAATCCCACACTTTTGCTCTGTTTTCTAGCTATTTATATACATTTTAAATCTCTGAATAAATTGCAAGCTCCTTGAGCAGAAAAATTGTTTCTGATCTACCTTTTATCCTTCACATTTCCTACTTGTTTGAAAGAATGAATCAATGAATGAGTAGATGTAGCCTGAGGCAAATGCCAGCATGTTCTAAGCCAATAGCAACATCATTGGAATAGATGTGGAACCTTCCAAAAGGAATATTTTGAAGCAAAACATTAATTAGATGGATGCTTGTTTAAAACAAAAAGTCATTGGAAGCACGGGACAAGGGAGAGGTGCCTGACCCGGAGGTCACAAGATTTAGAGCTGGGAAGGACCTTGGAGGCTATGTAGTCCAAGCCCCTGGTTTTACAAATGAGGAAACTGAGGCATGAAATCTCAGTTTAAGTCCTTTCTCTGTCATTTACTAGATGGGCAAATCACTTATCCTTTCTAAGCCTAATTTTCCTTATTGTAAACTTGAGATACTATAATTTCTACTACTATTATTTCACAGGGATGTTGTGAGGAGAGCACTTGATGACCCCCAGTGTTTTAGAAATAGCAGCTGTTGTTGTTATAAGCTCATCCTTCTCATCTTATACTCAGTGCAAGTTGACATAGAAATGGTGGCCATACTGGTCTCTTGCCAACTATTGTTCTTTTGTGTTTCATGCTCTGTAGACCCTTGCTTGGGTGGAAAAAATAACTGTTTTCAGGGGCTGAATAACAGTCCTCGGCAGGCTCATTACAAGTAACTCTAGCAAATTATTAGTAGCAGTATTGGAATTAGTATTGGGAGGCGTAGCAAACTACGGTGAGAAGAGCCCTGGCCTTAGAATCAGAAGACCAATTCGAGTCTTTCCTCTCTTATTTCTTGGTTGTGTGACCTTGGGTAAAGCATTTCACTCTGAGCCTTAATTCTTTATCTCTAAAATGGGGATGATAATAACTTATACTCCTTTCCTCACAAGGCTATAATTGGGTCAATGTTTCAGAAATCTTTTATCACCCTAGAAATTTGTTATTGTTGTTTTCATCCTTATGTCCTAATCTAACGTTGCATTGTGATGTAGAGACAAGCCTGGGTTCTTAAAGGCTAGAGTCAGGAAGCACGTGTTCTGGTAGGCTCGACAAAATTGAAAAGACTTCAAGGAGAGGCCTGGCAATAGTGTGTGTGTGTGTGTGTGTGTGTGTGTGTGTGTGTGTGTGTGTGTGAGAGAGAGAGATCCCTTGACAAGTCTGGCTAAGTTCAGAGAGGCTTATTAACTTCAGAGAGGGAGGTTATACTCAAAGTAATGAATGTTTTAGCCACAGCAACTTGCAGACTGTCTACTAAGTCAGGGAAGGGTCGTAATCTCAGTCAGTGAAGTAATCTGGCAATTCACAGATTCACCAAATGTTGAAGCCAGCCTCGCTATCCTATTTGAGGATACTCCAGTAATGGTGTTGTTTAAATGGCTGGCTGTAGCTGAAAGGTCCGAGTGCATTCAGCCAGCTTCCCCACCCAGTCATTATCTAGGCTGTGCTTTGGGGCAGGGCCTTTGGTATAACTTGCTCCCCTCCCCCGCCTGCCCACCCCTAGCCCTTTATGAGATTCTTGTCCCATCTCTTGCAGGGTATTTTATAGCAAACATCTCAGAGATCATTACCTTTGATAGCAGCTAAGTATCCCCGGAGTTCTCTCTGAAGTCTCGTACCCTCTGCCTGAAAAATAACAGAAATGAGATCCTGTATACTCATAACTGGAATTTCAACACAGCATTGGAGGAAGCACAAATCAGAGTCTGACATTCCTTTCAAAGACCTTGCTTTTGGATCCAACAAATAAATCCATTCTCTTCACTCCCCCAAGACTTACTAAGGCCACAAGTTATAGAGCAGGTGGACAGAATTTCCTCACCAGGAGTTCTCTATGCCAAATGGGCACACTAAGTCCAGGCACACTGATGTTGACTTATTCAAGCTTTAAGAAGCATAAGATTCAGCCTAAAATTAATTAAGCAAAGGGAGATGAAAGGTGATCAAAAAAGTGACCTACAATGGAGTAAGTTCTTCCTTCCCCCAAATATAATAGAAGCTCATAGACGGACTGTTTCATTTTAGTCTTTTTATACCTGAGCCAAGAACAGTGCCTGGTACATAGTGGAAGAATGATCATTGTTAGCCGAACTGAACCAAGGCTCATGTGTGCACACCCACATATATGCACACACACATACGTAATATTCACATATGCCTTTCTTCAAGGTCTTATGGTTAGTAAAATCAGGATAGTTTCAATGTGAAAATGATTTCTATAGCACACATGAGGCTACAGCTCCATGCATGCTGCAGCCAGCAGGATAAAGACCCATCTTTACATGGTTTATCAGTTACCAGTTCTTGTTGGTTTTACCCACCCAGCATCTTTTGGGACAGCACTATTCTGTCTAATCACACAGCCTCGACCCCAGCTCAGGCCCCAGGCATCTCTAGCTTGGACTACCACAATTGCCTTCTGATTGGTCCTTCTGGTTCCTGACTCTTCCCTCTCCAGTCCATCCTCCACACCAGCTGCTAAAAAAATCTTCCTAAGTCACAAGTCTGAGGCAGCTAGGTGGCACAGTTCTAGGATAGAGCTTTGGACTTGGAGTTGGGATGACCTCAGTTCAAATAATTTCTTAGACATTTATTAGCTATGTGACCCTAGGCAAGTCACTTAACCTCTGTTTGCCTCAGTTTCCTTATCTGTAAAAAGAGAGGATTGGACTAGATCTCTGCCAAGTCCACATGTATGATCTATGATCCTATCACTGATTTGCTCCAAAATCTGCAGGTTTTGCTGCTCCTTCCAGAATCTCCTCCCAATTCCTCAGTCTACCATTTAAGACCCTCCTAAGTTTGACTCCTCCCCCTCTCCAGCCTCATTTCCTATTGCTCCTCTTAGCCATTCCTGAGGAACTTTGTTGTTACCTGACATTCCTCTCTCCTCATTTTTGCTTTCCTCCACCTCTAACACTTCCCCCGCCCTACCCAAAGTGAACTGAAGTATCCAAGAGCCAGTTGATTCTAAATGATTCTGCCTAGAGACACAAAATCAAAGGCAGTTCTAAGAAAAAGGTCTGTCTTCAGAGGACCATGAGACGGCCACTGAGTGTGCACAGATAAATTATTCACAGGCCAAGCAAAAAATCAATAAAACTTGAATCCTTGACATTTTCTTAGTGGTAATGGAACTTCTAGGCATCTCATAAATTCAAGGCCAAAAGAATGGCAAAAACAGAAGTCAAGTGTGCTCAGGTGTGAGTGAAAAAGAGTTCCCCAGGGAAGGGCATTCTCTTGGCACTTTCAATTACAATTTGCTCATGATTATTATCTTAATAATTTACTTCAATTCAAGCCACATTTATTAAGTGATGATCTGGGGTCAGCCAGTGTGCTGGGTGCTGGGTATACAAAAGCAAAAATGGGCAGTCCCTGCCCTCAAGGAGCATACACACACACACACACACACACACACACACACACACACAAACACACACACATACACACATATATGCATATATATAAGAAAGTATACAATATTACACAGTTAAGTACATACAAAATATTGACTTGACAAATAAACAAAATAGGAATTAAATCTTCAAATAAACTTCTTCACTCAAAACTCCATATAGTTTTTAAAATAGCATACATTTTAACAAAAAAATAGTGAGAGAGGGAGGAGGGGGAAGCAGAGGGAGTGAGAAAGGGAGACATAGAAAGAAATAGAAGGACAGAGCCAGACGGAATGGATGGTGAGCAGCTGCTGTTTGTCACCCATCATGCCTCCTGTGAGCAGTGGCATGAAGACTTCCTTGAGTAAATGGATTTTTCTGTTCGTAGGTCCTCCCCTCTCCTCCCACTTTCCTTCAGACATTATGTACCAATTTAAGGCTGGGCTCAGGAAAAGAGGGGAAAGAGTGGATTAAAACAACTATAACTAGAAATTGAGTGGGTCAGGGCGAGCTTGAAGAGCCATAAACTCTCCGAGAATGTCTAGAAATGACAAAAGGCAGGAAGAAGAAGAGCGAAATGTATTAAGTTCTGGAATCCCAGATGAAATCTGATGTCTGACCCAACAGGAAGCCTAGAATGCAGGCTAGTTAATCTCCTTAAGATAAGCTAAAATAGGTTGCAATAAATACAGGATGACCTTCTATATATATGGACACAAAAGAATATTTTCAGGGTGATGGAGAAAAAAGGAAATGCATCCTGGGAGACTCATGGAAATCATCAGCCCCCTGAAATTAATGTGTACAAGGCTGCAGGTGTTGACAGTGGAAAAAAAATGGAGAATTTGCAAAAGTCGTCATTAAAATACCAAAAATATTCTCCAGCCCATCTTTATACACAGTAGATCCAGGGACATTTTCCTCATGAAATTGATCAACCAACCAATTAGTCTACCACCAAGCATTTGTTAAGCACTTCAAATAAAATGGTAAAATGTTTGTAAAGCACTTAGCACAGTGTCTGGCACATAGTAGGTCCCGAATAATACTAACAGATAGATAGTATCTACTATGCGCCAGAGCTTTACAATTATCTCATTTGATCTTCCTGGGAGGTAGGTACTCTTATTATTCCCATTTTACAGATGAGGAAAGTGAGACAGTGGTTAAGTTTCTTGCCCAAGGTTACACAGCCAGTAATTATCTGAGGTTGGATTTGAACTCAGGTCTGCCTGACTCCTGGTCCGAAGTTATGTGCACTATGGCGCCCCCTAGTGGGTTGTTCCTTGCCTCCACCTCCTGTGTTACAGGAACTGTGTGTCAGGTGCAGACGATACAATGAAACACTTCCTACTCTGGATGGTTAAACTTGTGATAACTGTTAACCTTGAGAGTTTGATGCCTTTGTTTCCACCACCAACACAAACTTCCAGCTTCCAAGAGGCTGATGCATGTGAGGGCAGATGCAGGAGCTGACCAAGGTGTCTCTGCTTCTAATGGTCAGAGAGAAAAGACTAGCCGTGAGCAGCGCTCAGCTCCCTTCCGTTGGCTCATCACACGGCACAATGGCATGAGTCACAGAAATGGAATGAAGGGGTGTAGGTAGGGGGTTGTTACGCCTTTGAGTCAAGGGGGAATTTCAATGGATTTTTTTTTTTTTGTAGAGAAAAATCTTGGTAAGAAATGCCTTCTTGCTTCCATGTTGCTTAGGTTTTGAGAAGGAATGTGATTAGTCTTTTTGTTGGTAATGCTCTCCATCATTTAAAAAGCATGGATTAAACAAGTAATATGTGCCAAGCATTGGGTGAAGTACCAGAGATACCAAGTCATGAAGGACACAGTCCCTGCCTTCATGGAGTTTCCATTCTATTAGGAATCAAGGTTGTTTGGAGGATGGGGAGAAGGGCTCAAAATGTACATACATATGTATGTACAAAATAAAATATAATTTGTAATATCTATCAAATATATTTTAAAAAACCCAAGCTGGTTAGGGAGGAGGTATCAGCTCTGAAAAAATAAAGAAAGGCTTCATGTAGAAGGCCATGACCTTCTTCTACTGACCCTTAAAAGACATTCGGGTTAAAATGTCCAATAAGCAGTTGGTCATGTGGGACTGGAGTTTTAAGGTGAAAGATTTGGACTGGATCTATAGATCTGGGAAATTTGGGAATTGTCTGCATAAAGAGGATAATTAAACCCATGGAAGATAATGAGATAAGAGAGCCAGAGCCAGATAGAGACAGACCAGGAAACAAAGGCAGAGACAAAGACACAGAGACAGATATGGAGATAGAGACAGAGCCAGAGACAGACAGACAGAGACACAGAGAGCCAGAAATGGACAGACACAGAGACAGATACAGAGATAGAGCCAGAGAGAGTGACAGAGAGAGAGAGAGAGACAGAGAGACAGAGAAAGAGACAGAGAGAGACAGAGAGACAGAGACACAGTAGTATAAAACAGGAATTGTTAACTTAGGAGCTATTAACTTATTTTAATTACTGGGTTTCAATATAATTGGTTTTCTTTGTAATCATATGTATTTGGTTTGATGCATTTTACAATATGATTCTGATAAGAGGTCCATAGGCTTTATCAGAATGCTAAAAGGATCCAGGTAACAAAAAAGTTTAAGAATCCTAGGTGTAGAGAGGGAAGAGGGCCTAGGCCAGTGACTTGAGTAACAGCCACAGTTAGGAGGTTTGATATGGATGATGAACCAACAATTAATACAAAGAAAGAATGGTCAAAAATGTAGGAGGAAAACCAAAACAGAGGAGTGTCATTAAAACCCAGAGAGAGGAGAGAGTATGCAAAAAAAAGAGGATGGCCAACAGAAATAAATGCTGGAAGACAAAAGATTGAAGATTGAGGAAAGACCATCAGATTTGAACGCTCATAGGTCCTTAGTCACTGGAGTTTCAGCTGAGTGATGAGTGAAGAAGCCAGATCGCTGGGGGTTGAGAAATGAAAGGGAAGTGAGGAAGCATTAACACCAAGTATAGCTAATAATAATGACTAGCATTTCTACAGTGCTTTCAGATTTGCAAAGTGCGTTACAAATATTATTTCATTTGATCCTCATGACAACCTTTGGGGGTAAGTGGTTTTACTATCCCCTTTGTATAGATGAAAAAAACTGAGGCAGAGAGAGATTGATTGAGTGACTTGCCCAGAGTCACACAGCTAGTAAGAGCCTGTGGCCAGATTTGAACCCAGGT